TCTCAGTGATGGCAGTCGTAAATGAATTAACCCATGCCTTAAGAAGCTGACGATCGGGAACAGTATTCATAGAAACGAGGGCTGGTAATGTGTCGATTTTGTCCTCCAATACTGAAGAAAACTTTGACCAATCAGGAGTGGACAGATTATATCTTAGAAGGGGAGGGGAAGATTTTTCGAGATATGTTATTTCTGTTATGGTGGTAACTATTGCATAGTGATCACTTCCGTATGTCAGATCTGTGCAGTGCCATTGCGAAGCTGAGGCTAGACTCACTGAGCAGAAGGTAAGGTCCACACAGCTTTTACGTTGGCCGGGCAGAGATCTCCTAGTAGCGCTCCCATCGTTTAATAAGCACAGATTTAGATCATCCAGTAGTTCCACTAATCCTTAACCAAAAGAATCACATCTTTCAGATCCCCACCGGAAATGGTGACAATTGAAATCTCCCATCACTATCAGAGGCCCACTTATAGCACCAAGAATATCTTTTAATATTTGGAGATAATTAAGGTGGGGATGCGATATATAAATTGAGAGGACTGTGATGCTCTCTATTTTTGCTGCAGCAATATTTAATTGTAATGCGTCAATAGGCATAGTCAGGGGTTTCAGAGGTACCTTGTTGTTAATAAGGAGGGCACATCCCCCTCCCACTCCGTTAGGTCTATCATTTCTAAAAATATTATAATAGGGCATACAAAAGCTGAGATTTGGAGAAAGCCAAGTCTCAGCTATAGAGAATGCTATAGGTTTGAATTTATTAATTAAATGTTGTAGGTCTTGTTTTTTAAACCAGATACTCCTAGCGTTCCAATGAAGAAAAACTAGTTGAGGCATTTTTAGATTTAACTAAGAAGGAAATGAGATAATTGGCAGCGTCGGACGGTATTTGAAATGGGGAGTTGGAATTATTTCCAGAGATAACGGCGGTTAAAATATTTAAAAGCAGTGAAATTATAGATGTAGTATCTGTATGCTCTGAAGTGGAGGTTTGGGAGCTCAATGCACAACCATTTGGCTGGGAAGATTGTGGAGTCAAAGTAATGGACTGATGAAGGGTTTTATCTTATGATGGGGAAAGTGGTCTATGTGTTTTTGGTCTTAACTGGACTGTTTTCTGATATGAGTTGATATTGCCTTTGGTGATGTTTGCATATGAGGTACTTTGTGGGATAGGAACTGTTTTACTCGCTTCAGCATATGATATGACTTGTTCAGCCATAACTTTTTTACTTGCGTAATGACTCCCAGAACACAATATACTAAAGGCTTCTTCTTCTGGTAAGTCGCAACCATCTCCTGGGTGTTCACTGCCGCATTTACTACAACGAGGTTTAGACCTACACACAGTGGATATATGGCCAAATCTACAACAATTCCGGCACTGTATAGTGGGGAAGATGTATTGTTTTACAGTAAGGGCTGTGTATAGACAATAAATCTTTTGTGGAAGAGTCTGTCCGTCAAAGGTGAGTTCGCATGTTTCTGTGGGTCTCCATTCTAGAACTGTGTCTTTTACAACTTTTCTATTAATGCGCCTCACCTTTAGGATTGGGCCACACCCAGTGGGGACTACTGTATACTTCTTGATTTCCTCCTCAGACATATCTGCGGGGACTCCTGATACTACACCCATACGGGTTACATTATAAGACGGGATGTTAGCCTGGAAACCATGGGAAGGTAAAATTGTGTTGGACAGGAACGCATTAGCGTTCTTGGGAGTCTTAAATTGTACTGCTACGCAGTTCCTACCGACTTTCTTTAATCCATCTCGCAATATATTATTAATGTTGTTTTATGCAGGAAAAGACCGAGGTTGACGGGGTGCAGGGTGGTTCCGGAGTTGGGTTGAGGTTCTATCCGAGACACATGAACAATAAAAGGACCCTTGTTCATTGCTGAATACCTGTTACGGGCCATCTGGCTCCTGGCTTGCTTCGGGGGTCGATCAGTCGGGGACGAATTGTCATCAACATGCCGCTTACGTGAATGATTATAAGCTATTTCTGGAAATTGGCTAAGCGGGTTGTCACTGCTCAGATCGAAAGAGTCATCGCGGGCGAGATGGGAAGCGTCCATTTTATCCGGAGGGTCCGGAGGCTTGCTTTTATCCATTGTAAATCGTTACAAAACAAACACGGGACAATACAAACCTGATTTACACGTACTACAACATACACAGAAGCACAAATAAAACACAGTGGTAACATTGAATCGGCAGAATAACACAAAAAGTATTTAAATTCTATACACACGTGCTAACCAAAACACACTCTGTGACAGAATCCAGGACTCTCGATTGAGCTTCATATTACAGTTTTTCTATAAAGTCGTGACATTAAATGATGGCGCCACTAGTATGCATGTAGCAACCCTATACAGTCGGACCAAAATGATTTTGATACTAGCAGTTCATTCAAGTAAAATAGGTAATTAAGACACACTATGTATTTTGTTTCTGTTTTATATATAGTAGGTACGTATGCTTATAAAAAGTTTAACCAAGCATATTTAATTGAATCAGAATAAAATTATTATAGATAAAATAGTACATTATAGTGTACAAGTGTGTAATGTTGGTGATTACCGCTGAGGTGCCATTGAGACCATAGCCGTTAGGTAATCATCAATACACACAAGTATCATACGACGTGTTTTAACACACTTGTTAAGAAAATAATACTAAAAATCATTTTATAGTATATAAAAAGTTTATTTAAAGAAACAATTTGTAAATGTGCAGTTAGTAAAATTAGTGATTGGTATCTTCACTTAAAGCATCTGGCCATGGTTCTATATGTGACCATTTCTTTCTTTGGTCGGCCTTGCCTGTTTTCCCAGGAGTTTCAAACTTTCCATCATTCTTAAAACCTTCGTTGACTATCCGCTTAACTGTATTCTCTGATTTTCCTGAAAAAAAAATTAAAAAATTTGTAACGGAATAGAAACAATAACTTATTGACATGAAGCAATTAATTCAAAATTGTTAGAAAACCTGACCGAGTTGAACCATAATAACGTATCAAAAGAAATGGTCGTACTACAATATTACTTATTTACAATGTCAATCTAACCTAAAAATGTGCAATGTAAACAATGCCTTTTTTGGTCTCGAAATCGTAAATTGAGTAAATTTGTAACTTCAGGCAGATTACAAACAAATAGTTACATAATTACATACCCGTCATAGATGCTGTTCGCCCATAAACATCATCCAAATCCCACAAAATTCGTCCAGCTTGGTAGTCTTCGAAACATCGCTGGAAAACTTTAAAAATCACTTCCCGCGTGCCACTCCGATTTACTTTACTCATTTTTATACCTTTCTGCGTAGTTTCGTCTTAATTTATTACAGTTTAATCCAAACAATAAAAAATACAAAAGGAAAACTGTTTTTTTTTTCTTTCTTTTTGTGGCGTTCTCCGTTTTACACAGTCGCCAATGACCAGTAGGTACCACAACTGAAACTCGATGACAGCTGATGTACATAAGTTTGGTGTTGCCAGACACATGAATAATGTTAGTTCCTCGTACATTCATGACACGACTTTATAGACAAACTGTAAGGTTGTTTGTGAGTGATATCATGCCTCGAGATTACGAATTTTCATCGCAAGATTATGCGCAAATGCATTATATCTACGGTTACGCGCGTGGAAAAGCTTCACTTGCCGCAAGGATGTTTCGCGAATATTTGCAACGCAGAGAAGGACGACAGCCCGATATTTATACAGATCATCGAGCATCATGTCGACCGATCGATGTGGATCAGGAGTCGCTTTTAACGTTCTTGATCTCTTTGTATTCGCCGGGTTACGGCCTTCCTGGTACGCTCGATGTACTCGCATTGCTCGATGATGTGAATAAATTTCGGGCTGTTATGATGTTATTTATATGTAACATCATATCAAAAATATCGAAGAAAAGTCTGCCCAAAAAAAAGGTAAACTATTTCCAAGTTGTCTCATCGTTAAATCGTAAAAAATGACGAAAATAAACTAACTCGCAAACTACGAAAAATCGTAGAACATGGGAGTTAAAATGATAGGTATGGTGCTCTGCTATCAGCTCGCACTGGCTTGACACCGTAAAAGAAACATCCTGTATATAGGTACTGACGAATTGAGAACCTCCTCCTTTTTGGAATCGATTAAAAACTAACGTAAAAATTACTCTTTTAGTTTTTCTTTGATAAATAAACGAATTTTATTTAAATATTTCACCATCGCTGTCGTGTACCTACTGCAATATTTAAAAACAATTTCATTTTTTAATACTTATTAGATACATATTTCAGTATAAATGAAGTAATGAAGCAAAACAATTAATTCAACATTAGGAAATCAATACCTATAAATATATATATATATATATATATAATATTATAGGTAAAGTAAGCAAAAGTAATACCTAGGTAATAGATAAACTTTTACCACGTTCAGTAATACTTGTGTACAGGTAGCCACAGAACAAGTTCCAAAAATGACAAATGTCTCCAATTAACTTTCAGTTTCATTTTGTTCGGCATAAAAACAGTTAATATTTTAGTTCGTGACATGTTGATGTGTTGCTGTCTGTACTTGTCACAGATTACGCTCGCTCGACCCGACTCGATTAGTGGGTATGCGTCACATGACAGATGAGATGAAAGAGAAGTAAAATAAAGTCAAACTATAATCGTTGCTGATTGGTGCGGGCGGAGCACGTGTCTAACAATTTCTGGTTTTCGTGTTTTCGCCACTACGTCACTGTTGATATTCTATAAGTAATATGTACTCTATGTATTCTATTTATTTTACAGTCTTTCTACTACTTCATGATTAAAGTAATAAAAAATATATTTTTTTAATACAAAGAAGCGTTAAAACTAAGAATTAGTATTATATGCAACCCAAGTAGAAGTTAATAGATAGTTAGGCGATAACTACGCGAGCGAGAGCTTTAAATTTTTTGATTGTGTATGTCTACCGGTCGTGCATGTTTTCTGCGATAGTTGTTTATCGTTCCCGACTCTATATAAAGAACTTCACACGCATAACTAGCGGTATTTGCGTTCACGTTACGCGTCCAGTGTGTCGCTCTGTTTGTTTACTTGATTATTCAAACGAAGGAAACATGGCATCCCGGGAACCCGCGTCTGACCAACTAGTGGACTATAAAAAATCTATCAAGGTAAGCATCCACCGAATTATTCAGTTCAGGCATCGGTTAACGTTACCCAGTCTGTTCAAACTGCACAATCTGATAAAATCTTGTATTGTCATTTTGTACTCTGAACTCTAATTATCATAATCAATCCACAGTATGTAACGCGGATACTTTTACAACCATGGATCTATTCAAGTGTTTGTGACTTTAAAAACATGTTGTTGAAATTACCACTCAATTGCTCCTAATATGTGCTTTACACTTTGTTTTATCTTGGAACTTTTCTTGATAATGTTTTACTATCATTTCATAAGCTCAGTTTTTTCTAGTCAAAGTTTAGCACAATTTGTTTATTTGTGTTAATTTATGCCCATTAATGATAACAACTAAGTTCTTAAATTATTTATACTAGCTCGAATGCTGTAATAAATGTATGTAGGTGTTTAGTCTAAGGTTGTTTTTTATAATGTGACACTGAATTAACTGTTCCACATATATACAATGTGCATTACTTTAAAAAATGTGATTTCATTTTTGTGTTAAGTTTCATGGAAATTATGTTTAATGCTGTTATTGCCTATCTGCGAATTAATAAATAATTTTATACATAACCTAGCTAATGTTTTTGTCAGTTTGATGGTAACAATATTGTAATTTTTAATTATTTTTTGACTGAATAAATAGGCTTTGAAACATAAATGATTAATGGATGCTTGTGACTTCATATGCATAGGATATTTAATTAGATTTTCACATAAATTGTATCTCTTTTTGTTTTTAAAAGTTTGTTTAGTTTTTTTTTTGGTTTAAAAGTTATATTTAAATTATATCAAAATTGGTAAAGAAATTACTGCATGAAAACATTAAGTAAATATTTACATATCAATAGATATATTTATGATAGATGAAGGAAGAAAGATAATTCCTTTTATGGTAGTTAGTATGTTCCTCGTTAGTATGATCCAAAATGATTATAAGTCAATTCTTCTTGGTTTTCTACTTAAATGAGTATGATTTTTGTTGATGGCAATTCTTGTAATTTTTCAGGATTCACCTGGATTTATCACAACAAAGTCCGGTTCACCAGTGGGCGTGAAAACTGCTATCCAAACTGTTGGCAAGAATGGCCCTGCTCTTCTTCAAGATGTAAATTTTTTGGATGAAATGTCTGCTTTTGACAGAGAACGTATCCCAGAACGTGTGGTGCATGCGAAGGGCGCAGGTGCCTTTGGTTACTTTGAAGTCACTCATGATATTACAAAGTACTGCGCTGCAAAGGTGTTTGAGTCTATTGGAAAGAAAACACCAATTGCTGTACGATTCTCTACAGTTGGAGGAGAAAGTGGTTCTGCTGACACTGTACGTGACCCAAGAGGATTTGCTGTAAAGTTCTACACAGACGATGGCAACTGGGATCTTGTTGGTAATAACACTCCTATTTTCTTCATTAGGGACCCCACACTATTTCCTAGTTTTATTCATACTCAGAAGAGGAATCCAGCAACGCACTTGAAAGATCCTGATATGTTCTGGGACTTCTTGACTTTGAGGCCTGAGTCTGTACATCAAGTTCTTTATCTATTTGGAGACCGTGGTATTCCTGATGGCTACAGGCATATGAATGGATATGGCTCCCATACATTTAAACTTGTTAATGCTCAAGGAGTGGCACACTGGGTAAAATTCCACTACAAAACTAATCAAGGCATTAAGAACTTGCCAGTAGACAAGGCTGCTGAGCTTGCATCCAATGATCCCGACTACTCCATCAGGGATCTGTACAATGCTATTGGAAAAGGAGATTTTCCATCTTGGACTCTTTACATCCAAGTAATGACAATGGCTCAGGCTGAAACTTCTAAATTAAATCCATTTGACTTAACTAAGATTTGGCCTCATACTGAATACCCTCTCATTCCTGTTGGTAAGTTGGTCTTGGATCGTAATCCTAAGAACTACTTTGCTGAAGTTGAACAAGTTGCCTTTAGTCCTGCTAATCTCGTTCCCGGTATAGAGCCTTCTCCCGACAAGATGTTGCAAGGGCGCTTATTCTCTTATAGCGATACTCATCGCCATCGTCTTGGAGCCAATTATTTGCAAATTCCTGTTAACTGCCCGTATCGTGTCAAAGTGACCAATTACCAACGTGATGGTCCTCAGGCCATCAATAACCAAGAAGGATGCCCCAACTATTTCCCTAACTCATTCTCTGGGCCTCAGGAGTGCCCACGTGCTCAGCGCTTACAACCACGTTATACTGTTAGTGGAGACATAGACAGGTATGACAGTGGTCAAACGGAAGACAATTTCTCACAAGCTACTATGCTGTACAAGAATGTGTTTGATGATGCTGCTAAACAGAGGTGCATCAGTAACATTGTAGGTAATCTAAAAGATGCTGCAGGTTTTATACAAGAGAGAGCCATTAAAATCTTTACTCATGTTCATCCTGATTTAGGCAGCAAGGTAGCAGCTGGGTTGGCTCCTTTCAAAAAATACCATGCAAACTTGTAAAAGTACGATTAGGATTAAGGGGTGTTATTCTTAGAGATAACTAACAATTTTTGATGATGACTGTATGGGAAAAGTGGGGTATTGATTGTAATCGTGTTTTTTTATACAAGACACAAAGTTTTATGTACCTTAAGATTTATTTGTTATTTTGACTATATTCAGTTATACAGCTATTTGTTTTTATTTACTACAATGTATGAACTTTATTAAAAAATATATAAAAAATACCTAAGTAGTTCTGTATTTCTTTCCTATTTTATTAAAAATCCATAAAGCTTAAACGGCCAAAAGGATTTTTAATCATTCATCATTTAATCCTTATTTTAATTCAGGATGTCACAAAACTGCCATATGGTGAGAAAGTATCTTAAATACTGAAGACAAATTTTATTTTAAAAACAATACAGAGTGCATTTGGAGAATTTAAAAACTTGCCAGTCTGAACCTGTAGTGGAACCGGCTAAATATGGAAATAAATTACCGGTAATTTTATTTACTGTACCGATCGAAAAGCTCATGCACATCTTCTTCATATTAGTAACATAGCACATAAAAAGAAGTCTATCATGGAGATTGCTCAGCTTCCATACATGTTTGGCCTAAAGACCAATAATCATGAAAAATTGTTTCCTAGATTCGAAATTATATATAAATTACTGTATTTTAATGTTTTACTGTAATTACGAATATTGTTGACGGACACCCCTGAGAACTTCTTTAAATCATATACATATATATGTTCAGTACATATTAAAATAATAAAAAACAAATAAGTTATATAGTAAACTAGGGAAATCAAGCCAAGTACCGAAATTATGGATTAGATTCAGGTATATAGAGCATGTAGATTAACAAATAGTTGCCTGTTTTTAAAGTTAATGCTTATGAGTAACTTTTAAAATCAGGTTTCAATTCCGGTTAAAGGTACTCCGTGAGCTGTGACAGAAACTGTGTGATGATTGTGAATGAGCCACAGATTAGAGAGAATTTTTAAACTTTCGTTAACCAAAGAAAGCTAAGAGATTTAGGTTCTATAGCCATGCCATATAATCAGTAGCTTCATTATTTTTGTTATGTTTTTAAGATAACCATATTTAAGATTTTTAGTGTATCACACCTTATAATTTTATTTATTTATTAATTTATAGTCAGGGAACGTAGGCCCATAGATAGATACCTTAAAGTCTAACATATATGCAGATTATAATGTGTAATTGGAGGTATTTGGCGAAAAATGTATGGCAATAGACTTTATGATGTCGCCTACCATCTATAATAATTGTCTGAGCACATTTGCATCTAGTGAAAATGATAATATAGTTGTGGATATTAATACAGTGTAATAAAAAAATGATTTACTTTATCGATCTTTACAAAATAGATTTGTTTTTATGTTATATAATTATGTTATATAAACAACTTCGATCAGTCTTTGGCTGAATGTTACTACACACATAGCCATTAAAAATGATTCGTATGTTTTCCAAACCGGTAATATTAAAAGTCCTTTTTAAAGTAAATATATTATACAAAGGTGTCCGTTGAAATCTAATGACTGTAAATTAAATTACGCCAAGAATTACCGTGTATGTCTATATTTTTTGTGCATTTGGGCTAATTTGAGCAATCTCCTTTAAGATTTAAATTATAATTTTGGTCAAAACAATAGTGATTGTTATAACTGACTATTATCTACTAAGTATGACGAAGAAGTACATACTTAGGTGTTTTTTAGGGTTCCGTACATCAAAAGGAAAAAACGGAACCCTTATACGATCACTTTGTTGTCCGTCCGTCCGCCCGTCTGTCAAGACCGTTTTTCTCAGGAACGCGTGAAGGTATCAAACTGAAATTCATATCTAATACTCAGGTCTTCTGTCCCTTGGAGCTGTGAAAAAAAATCAAACTTCTAAGCCAAAGCAATCAAAAGATACAGCCGTTTATGCCGCAAATTTTCGAAACTCAAGCAACATATAGTAAAATCGCACAGTGTCCCAAAACCATCCACGTGGAGAGAGAGTAGGTACATCAAATACAAGTTTTCAATTTATAAAACTTACACATAGAAACCGTGTTCATAATACTTTTAAAAAATGGGTGCGTGTACTTATGTAGGCGCGTGAGAAGTTATCCTTCTTTGGCATCGTTTAAAATTAGTTTTTAATTGCATGCAAATAATTAATTACAATAAATTAATAAAAAGTCTGGAAAATTTGAAAAAATAAATAAATAATCAAAATATTCAATTAAAATCGCTACTGAATATTATTTATTAGAACATATGTGATTTGCACTTGTATGAAACACAAACACGTATTCCGAATATACAAAATAGAAACATGTGGATAAATATTATAAATATGAATACCTATAACTTTTGCTTAATTACAAAAAATAAAGATGTGGTTTTTGGTTCTACTACACCAATGGTCAAGAGATGGCGCTGTAGTCTCTTGAATCGCGCTTTGGTTCCGTTGTTCCAGATTAATAAATACTTTTGATAGGCCTTCACAATGCAGTCGTTAGCACCCACAAAATAGAGATTCTATTTCTATTTTGTTGGTAGATTTTCTTAATGTGCGGTAAACACAAAAGTAACAGCATGCTGTTAATTTTTTGTGTTACAGTGATGCGCGCGCATCTTAAAATTTCACTCTCATCATTTTTTCATAACGCGCCTAAAGAAGTATAACTTCAAAAATCACGTCTGCACCGGGAGTCGAACCCGCTAATTGTGAAAAATAAAGTACCGGTAATTACTTTACTGTAAGTACCATTACATCCTATGGCAAGTACTTAGTACGATCGAAAGGTTTAAAATCATGTAGATCTACTTCTCCTAGGAACAGGCATCTGAAATAAAAAGATCATGAAATGTAATTTTTTAAAAAAGAATGGTAAGAATAATGAATTAAATTTTCCTTTTTTTCCCTAAAAATAATATTGTTCTTATTAAAATTAAAACTTAATTACATTTAAAAAGCGTATTCGTAATAATATTGTCTTTGTTTCTTGTTTTTTCTTTACCTAAACACATATTGTTGTAGAAATGAAAAAATAATATCAATCTTTTTTTCTCGAATGTAATGTGTGGTAGTGTCCTAGCATTTTTGATAGCCTAAATGCAGATTGTATGAGAAATGGAAAAAATTAAAGGGTAACATTGCCTAGTCATTTTACTAGAAAACTTTCCAGTTTATCACTTAAGTTCCTAAAGGAATCGCCATCTTTTCTTAAATTCTTCCAACGGTCTTTTAGATTTTAACGTAGAGTCCATAATGTCGTCAGAAATCGTAGTGGGCAATGTTGACTAAAAGTCTATATAACTTTGCTTGCCATCGAAATGCTCCAAAACTCAAAATAGACGTTAAATGTTTATTTGATATTGATACGCCACTACGTGGCAAGGATCTTAAGAGTCACATCTAATAAAAAAAAAAATTAGGTTGCCACTGAAATATCCAAAAAGAATAACGATTTTCGAAAAAAAACCGGCCGAGAGAAGTACACTGCAGGACATAGGCATAAGGGATTCCAAACCTATCGGTCCAGGGCTGCCCGCTTCCAGCGGCTTCCCGTGGCCTTCGCCAGATAATCGGTATTCTTGGCACCCCTGGTCCCGGCGCCTTGCCAACGTCTTTCATCGCTGGCATGGCCAACGATACCGCCAGGCACTTGTGGCCTTGGTTAAGTAACATTCATTATGGGGTGTTTAGGCCCAATGCAGGTTGGTGGGAAGCACCGGGAGCTCTATTTTTGATTCGCTCGCCTGACATAGTATCGTCGAATGCGACTTAAGACACTTTCGACTTCCAAGTCGCATGATAATGATTTTCCGTATTTTTGAATCGTTCGTTTACAGTGTTACCAGTTTATACAAAATATTTATTTTTATTAATTTCACGGAAAAAGATAAAACGCAGTCATTACCGCTGTGAAAAATAAACGTATAAAATTCTCAATAACTGGTTATTTAATCTTTTGCCTTTTTTGTTAGAAAAGGTCAAAACGTCGAATCAAATCGTCATCTTATCTCTATTTTAAAAAGATTGAGAAAAAATCTTGAAAATATCTGACATAAATTTGACAATTATTCTACCATTCGCCTCCATCCTTCTCCAACGCGCAACGAGTAGACGAGTATTATGTCGAATTAAAATGAATAGAAATCGAGCGTTCGACGCAAGGCGAGTGATTCAAAAATTGAGCTCCAGAGCCTCGTTGGTTGATAGCAGAGTGCACCGCATGAGGTTGGCCTGGATCCTCCTTTGGTGTATTTTTGAAATAATTTATGAACGTCGATAGTAACAAAAGTGGCCACTTTTAGCATTACCTATCGACAGTCATAACATAAGATATAGCTAACATTAGAGGCCATGAAAGAACATTTAAAAAATGTTTTATAGTCTACTATTTGCGTGATTAATTTAAATTTTCATTTAGAGTTCTATATAAAACGTAATTGATTTAATTCCAGTGGGGGCGCTTCTGTGTGCAGCGAACCACCTTAACTGTATCGTAAGCCCGATTTACACTTCGGTAAGTACAGTGGCGAGTTGGAATTACATTGCGGGCGTCGAATTGGTCGCCAACTCTATCTAACCGCTGTCCGAAATCGACTAAATTAAGAGATAATCTTCTATTTTTTTCAGTTCATTTCTTTAGAAGAGTGCCTCATCCGCGAGCTCAAAAATCGTTGGCGCATTTTATGAAAATAGATATTTGCAATTTTGAGTTTAATACAAAATTTAAGTAAAATTAAAAATCGCGGCCGCTACGAAATATTGCAATACTTAGTTATCTGCAGAATTCAATAATTCAAAATTATTAATGTACTTTAAATAAGTAGGTTTCTGTGATCACGAACGCCAAAATTTGCCATTTCACGCAAATTTCACAGTTAAGATGTGATATTATGGCCCAAGTCCAATTTTATACATATTTTTTAATATATTTTTTGCGTCTCATGGAGTCCCTAAGCGTATACCCGAACTCCTATACTCCTTGAAACGACACCGAGTCCTATCTGCAAGACGCAAGAGTCTCGAGGGCTTGGTCTCGTTCTTGCTCAAATCTACACGGTCTGTCTTAGTTCTTGCATTTTTGCAAGGCCAAGACCAAGACCAAGACCGATTATGGACAACTATGATGATGATGATAGTTGTAAGGTCGGTTTAAACGAATCAAAACAATGCCGTTTAAAACAATTTTTTGGTTTAAAACGGAGTTTTA